ATGCAATATTCCTGCCGGAAATATTTTAAACATGAACATTTGCGAGAGACATATCTCTTCGGTTATTGAAAAACTGACCGCTTCTTTGTACAGCAGGTACGAAAAACCGGTTTTTTTTTATATTTGACACCGCGTTTCTCCTCTTTGTTCCAGCATACTTTTCCTGCAAATGTGTTAGTAAAAGGTTTTCTCCCCTCTGCACAGCCATCCTGACCTCGGTCTATCCGGTTCCATCCGGTAGGACTGTTCAAGGTTATAGATTCATAAAAACTGTTTAAATTATTTTTATTCTAATATCATTAATTTTTGCTTACAACTTAAAATATGTCAATATATATAAAACTAAATGGATGTATTCAAGATTAATATAATTCGAATTCAATATTTTCAAATCCAAACGTTTCCATGAGTATTTGTAAAATGTGTATTTTTTTTTCATTGTGAACCTATCTTTCTTCAGTTTTGTAAAGATATTTAATAAACAAATTAAGTATAAAAACATAGAATAAGCTAAGGTGACCAACGATTGGATGTATAAAATACTTTATATATACACATTATCCTCGACTATGTTTTCCGAACAACATTAAGAGAAGTGAAAATTGTATGCAGCACTGCCAAATGGTCAACTAATTACGTGGAGGTAAGTTTCCTGGTATTTACATTTATCAGGTACTTACCAAATCCCTTCCACACAAAATTGAACGATGTGCTAGAAACCTCTGACCCAACATCCCTTGGCTCAAACCATTGCAGCTCGTTGCTTACAGTGGTCAGTCCGTGTCTTAACATTTATTATTTCGCTTGAATCTACATCTTCCGTTTAAAATTTGAAAAAATAACTTTTGCAATTACAACTCGTTGCTTGAAAAATAAGTTGATTTTTGTTGCACTTCTTAGCTTCTACTTTATCGTTCAAAAATTAGAAAGAATTGTCTATAATAGAAGCTTTTAGCTTTCCAAACCAGATCAGTTTTTGGTGTTCGTCTGTTCGTTACTATTAATTGTCATCAATTTAAAATACTCTTAAGTAAGTACAATTTTGTTTATTATTTATTATTTATTATTGTCATTACATTCAAAGTACAGAGTGCAACAGAAATGTTATAAGGTTTCCAAATGGACCTCAGAGGAATGAACAGAATAAGTATTAAAACGCATCTTCTATAAACATCCCCATGCTATATATTGAATGTAATTGAATAACATTATTTTGTGGAGACGAGGTAGTTGCCCAGCTACTATTTTAAGAAGATTTATGTTTTACTCTCATTATAAAATATAATTTTAGGAAGAATATAAATTTACTGGAAACTAAATAACTGTTCTTGGATTTGATATCTAAATCATAATTTTCTTTTTACAGCACCGAAAATGTCGGCCGAAAATCAGCTCTGGTGCCTAGTGAACTACAAAGAAGCCAAGTCTGAATGTGAATATGAAATTGTTAACCAGGACAGAATTGTGCGGATTGGAAAAAATAAAAATATTAAACCAGGAAATGAAGTCAACGTAACTTGTGGATCAGCACTTATGATGGCTACAATAATAAAAGTCGATGGTAAGAAATTTGATCTTTTTCTAGTATCATATTAAATTTTAAACCATTATTTAATTATGCAGATTGCTATGAAACATTCTACAAGCGATTTAAGTCTCTTTTAAATACATATGATGAAGGGCAGGAATCTGAAATAATTGCAAAATATATTAAAGAGATTGCTGACTTAACGCGGGAAAAAGATTCCTATAAGCAAATAGTCGATTCAATTCGATCAAAAATGGAGTCTTTTGTCATAAAATCCAACGTTAACACGATAGAAGACAATGGAAATACTTACGTAAATCTTGGCCAAAATAATACTAAAATTCTATACAAAGATTATGAAGCATTAAATTGGAAGAGTCAGACACAACCAACGAAAATCTTGCTAGGCCTCTTGTTTTCAAGAACATATTTAGCGACGCATTCACTATCTGGACTCGCAAGCCCAGCATACCAAAATACA